CATCAAATTAATATTTTCAAATTTTGACATATAAAAAGAAGGTATTTGCCATTAGGCATCTTGGTTTGCAGATTAAGATCATGTTCTTACTCTCTCTCTTTATATTTTTGTAATTGATTAGTACTTAAAAGTGCATTTTTATCATGGTTTTATATCATCATTTTGCACTTGAAGTATCAATAACTCCTTAACTAAAATATGTTTTATAAGAATGTATCTAATAATATAAGATACCTATAAATTGTGGTAAATGTCTATTTTTAATGCAGGCCTATCACATAAATGAAAGGATTGATTGATGACTTGAAGAACTTAAATTGCATGGATAAAGAGATGGTCAAACTTAGAGAAGAGATGTCGGTGCAATCCAAACCGGAACACTGTTCGGTAATTGGGTCATATCTGGAGCTACAGATCTCAGATTTAGGTCCAATTTATATGGATAGAAAGGTAAGACATAGGCCTACAACTTTCATATGGAGCCCAAGATCTAAAAAGGCCATTATCAAGTCCAAATTGTAGCAACAACAAAGAAGCCCGAATCTGTCTTCCAGCCCGAGCACTATTCGGTATTTTGGCCATATCTGGAGTTCTAGAAGTCCAAATGAGCTGAAATTTTTACACAAGAAAGCTGAGACAATTGCCTACAACTTTCATGTTTACAACTGGCTCCAATTTTGACGTTATCAATGACGTTTTGGGCAGACAAGAGAAGATAAGGATTGTCACCAAGTCAAAAGTTGGTCACCCACTTATCAATTAGTCATCAAATCAATAGTTCCCAATTTTGGCCTATAAAAGGAGGCATTTGCCATGCATTTAGGCATCTTGGTGTTCAGATCAAGATCATGCTCTTCCTTTCTCTCTTTGTATTTTTTATGCTTTGTTTTCATTAATATTAAGTTTATGCCTTTCATTTCCTTTCCTTTACTTAGTTAACTTTTATGTTCTTATTTTGTTTATCTATTTTGCTTTCTTTCATTATGTCTAGCTAAGTTAATTATGTCAAGGTGAAAAGGTTACACTAATGGTGTAAGAATAAGTATAATGTAAACTTAATATGGACTTTAATGTTTGATACTAACATGTTTTATATTTGCTATCTTGTTCACTCTTTAATACTTTGCTTGTTAAATGACTAATCTTGATTTATGTTGTATAACACTTGGTACAACAAATGCTTGGCACTTTCATAGCCCATAATGTATGGTATAACCGACACCTGAGCTATGAAAGGAACTTGATTTGTTGTTAACATAAGTTATAATCATGAATGCTTGACGAGATTTACAAGTATTAGCATTAATTGAATAAGATGACTAATGTAATCATGTTAACAATATATAATCTGATTGGAACCTCCTTTGTGTGTGGTTTCCAATTCAATAATAAGAGTTTATACTATACTTGTTTGATATACCATTAGTGGAACCTCTAACCTTGACATTTGTTATTATCATTGTTTAATCGTTACATTAATATTCCATCTCAAAGTTCTCATCATCTTCTTCTTCTTCTCTTTCTTTATTATTATTATTATTACTACTACTACTACTACTACTACTACTACTACTACTACTACTACTACTACTACTACTACTACTACTACTACTACTACTACTACTACTACTACTACTACTACTACTACTACTACTACTACTACTACTACTACTACTACTACTACTACTACTACTACTACTACTACTACTACTACTACTACTATTTATTTAGTATAAACCTTGGTACAACGAATACTTGATATTTTCATAACCAACCATATGGTATAACCGACACCTGTGCTATAAAAGAAACTTGATTGGTTGTTAACATAAGTTAGCATCATGAATACATGAAAACATTTACAAGTATTAACTTTATTCGAATAAGATAACTAATGTAATGATATTAACAACTTATAATCCGATTGGAACTTTCTTTGTATGTGGTTTCCAGTTAAGTAATAAAAATAATTTATACTATACTTGTTTGAAATATCATTAATGAATCCTTTAACCTTGACAATTATTTTATTCTTGTTTACTCCTTCCATCAATATCACATCTTAAGAATTCTCTTCAACTCCCTTTCATTTATTGTTTATAATTTTATATAGTTCATCTCAACTCCCTTTTATTTATTGTTTATAATTTTATATAGTTCACCTCTCTATGGTTTAACCTCGATCATGCCGAATTATTTATTACTTCAACACTCCTGTAATTGAGAAAAGAAATTAATCTTTTGGTCGTTTCAGAAACCTATTAGGCATGTTAACAACTCAACTTCTACTACCTACCAATATATTTTAAAGCCTTTATAATAAGTTATAAGTATGAACTTCTTCTTTACTGGGTAATACCACCAATGTTTGAATGCTAAAATAATGAGATAAATTTTAAGATCATATATAAAGTAATTCTTCTTTGAACATTTCTTATTAAAAAAAATAATACAAGTCTTCTATTTTGGCTAAAAAACTTCTAATGCTTAAACCTAATGCAATACAAATCAACTCAAGTAATTTGTTAAAATTAGGAAGTGCCAACATATGAGCCTAAATCATCTCTTGTTTTAGTAATTGAAAGATAACTTTTATCTTTTCTATGCACTAAAAGTTTTACTTTTTTAGACACTTAATTAGAGCACTGAAATTATGGATGAACCATCTTTAAAAAGATGCTAGCCTATGAAAACTCTATACAAAATGAATAACTTTTGGAGTAGGCCACTATATAATTGCTATCACTATGGATTGATCAGCTTGGACGCTATTAACAAAAACAACAAAACTCATATAAATGATTTGTTGGTGAGGAACTTATATTTCTTGTGATTAACATGTAACTGCTACTACCTCAATATGTTACAAACAACTTAAAGATGTTCCAAATGAGATTCTGAATATGAATTATAATTGAGGATATTATTAAAGTAGACTATTATAAACTTGTATGGAATAGTCTTAAGACTTGATGCATAAATCTAATGAAAGTCCTAAGAGTATTGGATAGCTCAAATGATATTGCAAATCACTTAATCAACCTATATTGTGTCTTCAAAGTTGTTTTCCACCCATCCCTTTTTTTTATTCTAATTTGATGGTACCTATTTTAAAGTTAATGTTTGAGAACATCTTAGAACTAGCTAGTTGATACAATACATCATCAAATTATGATACGGGGTGCCTGTACTTCATGGTGATCTATTGATGGATCTTCCATCCATATATATATATATATGTATGTATACGTACATGTTATGAACCATCTTTTTTTGAAATTAAGAGATCTGAAATTGTGCAAGGACTCTTCTAAATATACCAATTAACCTTACCACTTACTACTACAATTTTTCAAACTCCTCGGGGCTAAACATATATGCTAACTTGTTTGGCAAGCTAGAACTTACAATCATATTGATGTGGTAATGGATGTCTATTATTAGGGGGTAACCCTTGAAGAAATTCTTCTAGTATCATCTTTGTAAATTTTATTAGAACCTCCTGGATTGTTGTAGGGGGGCTGTCTTCAACCTTTTTCTTTATAGTATTATTATCAAACATTAAAGCATAACCACTTATTCTCTATCTCTTTCATGAACTGTGATAAGAATAATAATTTTTTTTTAATAATTGAATTAGATTTAATAACTACCCTTTTCTTCCAGGATGTTAACACCACACATGTTCTTCTTTTTTTTTTTTTTTTAATGTGGAGGATTTTACCTTGTTTATCATACACAACAATTATATCATATTATTAAGATCTACCTAATAATGTATGACGTGCATCCACTAATACCACATTATACTAAACATTATCATAATATTTTGTTTTATAAAAAATAACACAAAACATTATTTATTTATAATTGTCTTAGTTTTTCTAATTAGTTAATTCATCTTATAAATTTTTTTTATGGTTGTTTAAATTTTAAGTTGTAGTTTCTTTATAACTTTTACTGACATTATATTTTCGCAGTTATCACTGTAAATTATTAAATAGCATACCTTGTTTTGAATGATACATATGAAATGGAAGATGTTAGAAACCTTTAATAGGTCAAAACCCAGCAATAACTAGATGAACTGTATAATTAAACCACCAACGATCCAACCCATGGCTGTCTTTTACCGATTGATCTATAAAATTTTCTATCCCTGCCATGACTCAAATATTGCACTTTATGTTTATAGGCTATTATTCCTTGGCCCATACGATGCTAAATAATTGAAGGAGACTATATTATTTATAGTGAGAACAACTTCTTTTTACATTTATTTGGCGTAGGATAAAGTTTTTCTACTTCTTTTTGGCAACATAATATCTCAGGTTACTAGCAGCAAAGAATATCATCTCTTTGCTGCTATCAATATGTTAGGATTTAATGCATCAATTTCACCATAATTTTTTTTTTTCATACGTTCTCATAATCATATATTTTGTAAATGGTTTAGGAATAATAAAACAAAAATTTAAAAATATAAATATTGATATAAAGGATTTACAACTATTGAAATCAGTAATTCAATATATATAATATAAATGTTCCAGCGTTGAGCTAAGAACATTGAGGATTTAATTTCATGTTCCTACTATGCCAAAGTTTTAGTCTCAATTGACTTTTTACACAAATTAAGAAAATTTCATGATTATTTGTTCTTAAATTACTTTATACTATTATATTTCATTTGAATATAAACAAGAAAGAGAATATATATATATATATATATAAAATCTCGACACGATGTCTAACCCTCCGGTTTAATGATCAGGATGGTTTCGAAAACCTTGAAAATACCTTTCCTTGGAGTTTCAGCCCATAAAGAAGAAGAAAATCAATGTCCAGACTCATCAAATTGGGCTATAACAGGCCACGATACTACAACGTGGGCAAAACTACTGCCTTAAACGACAACATGTGATAGCTGTCTAGTTCTGTAACGAAACGACAGCGGAAGTGCAAGCGGCACGACAACCTGATCCCATTTTGAGGTGAGAAATTAGTCACTCAAAGCAGCACTCCCACTGGCTTTCTCTGCTTCTTTCTTTATCCAAGAAACCATTCCTTACCATCTTGTTCAGTGGAGTATATGATTTTAAGTTGCTGTCAGGATTCAGTCGAATGGAGGCTGGCAGGACTTTGCTTTCTTCATCTCCATCTTTTCCTACAAGAACCCACCTCAAGAATTCTCTCTGTTCTTCAGGTAACCTCTGAATTACTGCAACTTCGCAGCTTTGTTAAAGTCTATTCCTGTTCTCTAGTTCTCTCTCTTCGGTTGCTAAAGAATATTAATTTTCATGACATTGTAAAATTTATTTATTTATATTTATTTTCTACATTTTGTTAAGCAACTGATAGGACGGACCTTCCTTTCTATAATAACTTAAATATTATACATATCATGAAACTTTTGTTACTTTAGGATCATAGAGAAGCCCGTCATAGGCTCTCGTGGGTGCAAGTCAACATCAGTGGGATTGTTACCCAGGCTATTGTTGTTTTCCTTTGAATTAACTTGCATGTTGAGTGAGGTTTCATTGTATATCTACTGGACATTATGCTTGTTTTCCTCGGGGTATTAGAAATTAGTTCATGGGCTTATGAGAATATTACCTCCTGTTTACGCTCTTAATTTTGCAGTTCTGATACTTCGGGAACAAGCAACTCCTGCTGTTACTGCTATTCCAACCACTTCTACAGCTCAACATTTTCCTACTTCAGTTCTTTTACAAGAGCAGCGTGACGAGTTTAGGCCTCTACAGAACATATTCAAGGAAGATAGACCTTCTCAGGTTAGTTTTTCATTGTGCAATGCACCAAACTAAAATATTGAGGAGATTCACATATAGGAAGACACTTTTGTTTTAACATTTGATTCTTTACCTTGTTGCTTGAGCTGGTTGTGTAATTGCTTGCTTTGAAGAATTTGCAGAGTTTCAAATGTTAAGTGTCCTTGTTTGTGTAATTTAAAAAGAAAAAGGCCTCGCCATGCTTGCTTATAGTCTCATGTAATCTCTTTGTCCATATCAACTCCTAATTTGTGCGTTCTAAATTATCTGTCTGCCTCCGTTTCATTCAAGGCAACATTGGATAGGAGGAAGACAGAGATTGGGACATCAGGCCATGAAGGGAAGGACTCTGATGAGATTGGGACATCCGGCCATGAAGGGAAGGACTCTGATGAGTTAGACCAGATGGTAGAAAACTTTGAGTACCAGTTGCATCATTGGCCTACTTATTGGAATCTGTAAGATGAATAAATCTTCATTTCCTGTTCTACTTGCATCAACTTCTTATGATTGCCACTTATTGTCCTGGATGGAATCCTTACATGGTGCTCCATTTTCTGTTAAAGATTGCCACCTTCACAAAAAGGGCAAAATCCATCCATGTCCTTCACCACGCAGTCTGTTACAAGAAGTACTGACAAGCTAATTGATGTGGAACCCACTGATGTTATTAATCTCGCTAAGAGAGCTTTGTCAGCCTCAAAACATGCAGCTTTTCTTGCTGATAACTCCACCGATCTTGATAATCTGGCTTCCACTAGGTTTGTTTCCCATTAATTTAATTCTAACTTATAAACTCTTTTGTTTCGGAACTGATACATAAAGCTCTCCAGTTCATCAAGTTTTTCGCTTGAGGAGGTGAGAATTGTAAGGTCAAGACGGCATTTAGCGAGGCAGTCTCTAAATCGAAGGGTGCCGAAAACAAAAGATATGATTTTCGAGACCTATGATTCTAAAAGTGCTGATGTACAGAAAAGGCTAAGCCAAGGATTTGATCCAAATGATCCCCTTAGATTGTTCCTGTGGGGTCCTGAAACAAAGCAACTTTTGACTGCTAAAGAGGAGTTTGAACTGATTGCTCAAATACAGGTGTATTTCCCAATCATATCTAATTTGAAATGGATTTCTTCTTGAATGTCCTTAAAAAGAGAAGATGCTTATTTATGGACAACCTTTTCTTTTTCCCTTTAAAATGAAAAATGAAACAGGATTTAATGAATTTGGAGGGGGTGAAGAATAGGCTTGAATCTCAGTTTGGCCGTGAACCAACCTTGGTTGAATGGGCTCAAGCTGTTGGTCTTAGTTGTTCTGTTTTAAAGTTACAACTTCACTCTGGTAACCGCAGCCGGGAGAAGCTGATCAATGCAAACTTACGGATGGTGGTTCACATAGCTAAACGTTATCAAAACCGTGGTCTTGGCCTTCAGGATTTACTGCAGGTTAGCTGAAACTTGTATTGCCTTCTGGGGTCCCCCCGTTTTTTTTTTTACCTGTATCAATGTGTAGATAAAACACGTAAATCTTGGTTTCTGTTTCTGGATGGGATAATTAAAATGTGGTTCTTGCATTTTTGTTGAATACTATTCTGAGTGCGGGGAGGGTATATGCAAATATTAGTTGTTTGGTCTGATGGAAATAGTAAAGAATTTTTTGCCCAAAAAAATTCTTTGATGCACATGGTAGCTACGCTAGAAATTGTTATATTAGATCATCCATTCATGTGCGTGCTGGAATATCATACACAGCAAATAATTCTCCTCAACTTTTTCTATATAACTGGAGTGTTGTGCATGTCTTTACACTCATCCTGGTGGTATCATTATATTCCTTGTTGATTATACCGTTTCTTTGTGGAACTAAAGAAAGGGAATAGCTGGACAAACATGTCTGAGTTTGTTTTTTGAACTCAAGACTGAATGAGCATGAATTGTGATTCTCAAACTAGGCTTCTTTCTGTTTCTTTCCTAAAACTGCTATAGGAGGGAACCGTGGGTCTTATGAAGAGCATTGAGAAATTCAAACCGCAAGCTGGTTGCCGATTTGCCACTTATGCTTACTGGTGGATAAGACAAACTATTACAAAGGCTATATTTCAACATTCCAGGACAATTCGTTTACCGGTAATGACAATTTTCTCGCATAATTTCTGTTTCATCAAGAATTACTTGTCCATGTTTTTCTCCATTTTCTTTTTATCTCTCACCATCTCTGGTGAGTTCACAAATGACAATAATTTCAGCAATAAAATAATTGTTGACGAGGATGAGAATCAATTTTACCTTTTTTGTCTCAATAAATTCTTGTTATTTTTTTGGCATGTAAAGTATGGCGTTTTCTCACTAATATTCTAACAATGGCTGGACTTTTACTGTCTGAATTCCTGATAATTTATAACTTTAAAATGTATTTAAAAGCATGATGAGCTTTAATGCTCGTCTGAGAACTAATAACATTTTCTTTGTAGGAGAATGTCTATGGCCTCTTAGGAAAGGTGATGGAAGCAAAGAGGTCATATATTCAGGAAGGAAATCATCAACCAACCACAGAAGAAATAGCAAGACGTGTTGGAATAGCTATTGACAAATTGGAAAAGTTGCTATGTTTTACGAGAACACCACTTTCGATGCAACAGACTGTGTGGTCTGACCAAAATACTACTTTTCAAGTAAATGCTTCTTTGTTCTCTCATGTTTCATTTAATATCCACATTCTTGAGCTTCAAATAGAAAATTCCAGAGGGAAAGAAACTTAATGTAAGTATTTAGAACACTTAACATGCTATTTATTGTGCTCTTTGAAATCCCCATCAAGGCCTTAACTGCTCTGTACGTTTCGAGTGTCTGTAGCATACATTACTATTATGAGCTGCTCTATAAATAGTCCTATCCGAGTAATTCAAAGATCAATACAACTTCCGTCAAAAAAATAAAAAAAAATGAGCACTGGAAGAGTTTGTTTACAAAAGATGATTTCAAATTTGGCAAATGGCTTCCTCTGTTAAATGCTTACTTGGCATGGGTCCTATATCCAAACAAGTTTTCCGAAAATTGATTGAGAGTTTGTAGAAATCATGCATTTCCTGTTTATATTGCAGGAGATAACTGCTGACACAGAAATCGAGATACCAGATGTGAGTGTGGCAAAGCAACTGATGAGAAAACATATTCGTGGGCTCCTAAATATTCTCAGCTTAAAAGAGAGACGGATAATCAGGTTAAGGTTTGGCATTGAGGATGGAAAACAGAAATCACTTTCTGAGATTGGCAATGTGTTTGGGTTGTCTAAAGAGAGGGTACGGCAATTGGAGAGCCGTGCACTGTACAAGCTTAAGCAGTGTGTTGGCAGCCATGGCCTCGATGCTTATGCAGATTTACTTAGATGAAAGTCATTAAGGCACGCCATTTAAATGGATGTCATGTCGGCGTGAAATGGTTTTCCAGAGCTATAAGTTTAGACTTCCAGTTTTCGGTAGGTGGAGATCATGCATTTTTATGGGCACAGTTCAAGTTTTTGATGCTTCAATGTTCTAATATTGCTGTACAGAAAAGAATAATCCTTGTTCTTTAAATCACCCGTATCTCTGTCCATAGTGGTCAATAATTGCTTCATAATACTTTGGAAGTGGTGAATGATTGCTCGTTATGTGTGCTTGTGCTTCCATAGGTACCTAGAGGTAAGAACTAAGAGCACTCATCTTTTACCACTTATTTCGACCGATTAATCTGAAAGTAATTAAAAGAAAAAAAGAAAACAAAATCTTACACTGGCATACAATACCATACAGGATTGACAGGAGGCTGAAATGAACTTTTAATGCTTCCATTTCCTACCACTCCGGCCCATCAGCGAGTAGAATTCAAGATGGTTGAATAAAAAAATTTAGATTTTAGTGTAATTATATTTATTATTTAGTTTTTTTATTATTAAGTATAATTTTCAATTTAATTTTTGGATTAATATAAAGTTTTACCAGGAATTTCTAAATTTATTTTTTATATTAAGTTAAAATTTCAAATAAATCAGAATTGAAAAGGTCTTGTAATACAGATTAGCAAATGCAATAAAATTTCTTGGTAGGTGATTATTTTTCTCCCCTGATAATGCAAGGATATTTAATAATTATTTTTGAGAGCTTTTCTAATTCTACAAGGATCTTTAATGAGTAGTATTGTTACTCAATTTTGAATTAAAAAAAAAACAAGGAAAGAAAAGAAAAAAAAGAAAAAGAAAAAGAAAATCCAAAATACAAGAGGATATACATGAAGAAAGCCTAGAAAATTTTTCAAGTTGGCGGTGAAGGATCAAAATAACAGGTGGAAAAGTTAGAGGATCATAATGTACAAGATTAACAAAATGGACAATCCAATTTTGATTGATAAAGGGTTTCATTGGTGAAAATATTTTTATTTGGGGTAAAGAAATATAAATTTTGGTAGGTAAAAACTCAACGACAATTTTGAAAAGCTTAATTAATCTTATTGAGGACTTGATTGCAAGAAATATTAGTTTTCAGAGTTAATTTGGATGTTAGTTAGAATAAATTAAAGTCTAGGACTTCGTTGGTTTTTTAGGAGGTTTAATTAAATGAATCAGGCAATTAATTGTAATAATATTGAAGTTTGATGAGTAATTAAGGACTTGATTAACGAAACCCAAAATCAAGAACCAAAATAAAAAATTGTGTGTGATTGTAGGGGCTAAAATTGATCAAATCAAGGGTTAAATTGAAGAAAATTAAACGTTTGACGATTAATAAAGAGTTCAAGTGCACAAATCAAAAACCAAGGACCAAGATGGAAATAATGCTGAACTTTAAGGCTGATGATTGAATATGACAGGGATGCAATAGCATGAAATTAAGAGTTTATGAGGAAATTACTGGTGCAATTGAAAGAACAAGGACTAAAATAAAACTTGTCACATCCCAACTTAAAAACTCTAATTTTTAGGGTTTAACCTAGACGACACGTCGTTCGACCACTATTTAGCTTCTTTTTGGTAGTTTTGACTCATTGAGTAGACACTTTTAGACAAATAAATATGGTGTTTCTGATCACTTCTAGGGTTGTAATCACCACTATTCATATAAGAAACACACCCTTATCTAGGGTTGTAATCACCACTATTCATATGAGAAACACACCCTTTATAGAGATCAACTACTCTTATCAAACATTTGCATTCAATTTTCTTTAACGAACTTGACAATATCTTATCCCTGATCAACCATCACTACATTTTTAGATTCTCAGCTAATCAAGTTGACACATCCAAACAAATTAATGTAGAGATAAAGACCTTCAAATTTAGTAAGAGTGGATCCAATCGAAACGTATGCTTTTCTTCTACCAAGTTTAGGTGGTCTTTGATGATGTTTACATCAAAGTTGCTTTGAGGAAGCCTTGAGAATGGTCAACTCAATCAGCCTTGACTGAGATACCCATTTGTGTAAAACCACTCAACTTTTTCATGTGTTCACACTTAAATTTTTTTAGAGGGTTCTTATCAAAAGTCATAAATCTTTCATTCAAAATCAGAAGGTGAGGGATGCATGTCTTTGTCTCCAAACAAAAGAAAACCACATAGACAAGTTTGTTACAAAACCACCATCTTAAAACCATTAAAGAACATAGGTTTCAATTATTAACATTTGTCCAAAACTCTTTCATTTTGATCAAAGGGCTAGGTTTTGATCACTTTATGTTTGAATCCATTAAGAACCCTAACAAAACCATATAAATACCCTCTGAAAAATGAAAACAAGAGAGGAAAAACATGGAGAAACACATTGTGAAAAGATCTTTGTTTGAAGGTTCAAGAATCTAACATAAAAGGGTCTAACAAGCTTTGGAAGAAAAAGATAGTGAAAGGAAAGAATTGAAGAAAAGAGAAGGAAAACAATAATTTATAGCTAATAAACTTGGAGAAGGTATAGCCATATAAAAGGTCAAAGGTGGAGTCCATATGGCTTTTATATTCATGTTTTATTAATGTTTAAACCTTTTTTTGATGTTGTTTGAGCTTATCTTGTATTTTTTTGTTTGACTTTAGTGTCGGAATAATCTAATGTTTTTCAGCAATGTTTGTTTTGTTTTTGTTCTTCTATTAACATGTTTTAGATTACTCAAGCTTTTATTATGATAGTTGATTTTAGTTTTGGTCAATAATATATTAAAAAGGCTTGCACTAAAGGTATGATTCTTGGTTTTTGATATTTGTTTAATTCTGTGTTTTTAGCCCAATAACATGTTGATAATGTATTTGAGATATTTTGATTGATGTTTGAATTTTTTTTGTAATAAAACAATAAGTTGATTTTGTTTGTGGGTTAAAGATTTTGAAAGCATATTGATAAATTTGATGTCTTTTAGTGCAAGTTCATGGTTCATATAAGTATGTATTGGCAAATAGATGTTAAAAATATTAAGTTTTGAATCCAAATAACTTAAATATGTTTGTTGTTTAGTTTTGGTAGTTTTGAACATTGGAACTTCATACATGTTATTGATGACTTAATGTTATTTGTTAGTTCTATATATTCAACTATACTTGGTATTGATAATGTGATTTGTAAGGACTCAAAGCAACATATTTTAGAAGTCTAAAGGGGTAGTTCTAGGTTTAATAGTGGTTAGGAATTGCTATGTTGTTGGGTTCAATTTCTTCATGTTCTTAGGAAGAACATTGTCTTAGCTCCATGATTTGGACTAACTTTGGTCCAATTCTTTGCACTAAACTATTTGGGCAACTTGACTAGTATATAATTTAGGGTTATATGCATTAATAAAAAGTTTTCAGGGGTTTTAATCTTAAGGTTTTGGTTTTAAATGGAAACCTATTTTGACATAATCGTGTTCATTTTTTTATAATAAAAATTGAAACCCATTTTGATAAAAATATATTGATTATTTAATAATCAAAGCGAATGGATACCAGATTATGGATCCTTGCACAATTTCAAATAAAACCCTACCTTTGATTGCATGAAAACTTGTTTGGATTGAGACTTGTGTTTTCTAGGTTCTTGATCAATGTTCTTTGAATTTTTTATGATTTGAGTGTTTGATTTGTTGTATTTTTTTATGTTTTGTGTTAATTTTCAAATTTGATTTTGTTTAAGTTTAAACCTTTGTTTCGATTTAGTTGTTGGGTCAAACCTTGGTTTTTAGTTTAGTTCATGATTGACTTTGGTTTGACCCATTTGGTTTTGTTTTGAGTCAAATACTTAAGGCGTTATTTGTTTGGATAAATTTTGTTAAGAATTTAGTTGTGTAAGGGGATGTTTGACAAACACAAACTTAAGTCCATTTTGATAGTTTTTTAGGGAAAGAAAATATGGTTTTGCCAAAGATAGCCTTACAGGAATAAATAATAATAGAACACGATGATTAAAAAAATTCAAAAATGATTTTTATTTGTTGTATATGGCATAATCCTTATAAAAATTGCATTTTATTTATAAAAAACAGAGATGTTTTTAAGCAATGTTTTAAAAAAATTATTTATTTTTTTGCATATTTTTGGAATTTATAATAAGTTTGTAAAATTCCTTAAGGATTTGACCAATATTTCAATAACTCTAAAAATTTAATTCCAAAAAATTAATGGTCAATATTCTGGTATAAATATTGGACCTACTAGTAAGCTGGTATTTAAGTACCAAGAGTTGATTAAAAAAATTCTTAGAATTATTTTGAATATTTAGTAATTTTAATTAGGGGTTTTTTTTCATCACAATACATAAGTTGTGAAAAACACTTTCACCTTGCAGGATAAATGAATCATGTCAGGGCATCCACATGGATTCTTCCCGTAAGAATTTACCATGTCATATGAGCCTATAATAAATTCAAAATACCAGATTTATTTATGAGCGTAAATCTTTGTTCTGAACAATAGATGGATCACCGATTACAAACTCATTAACACTTTTAAACCATATCTAGATTACATAGGTAATTTACCTCATGTAAGATGCACTAAAGGTACTAATACTTTTTTTAACCACAATTAGTCCTTTACCTTGGAACTTCGTATAAGACTAGTTCACTTAGAATGCTTATTGACCTTAAACCAAACAATTAGGTGGTGATTACTTGATCCTGACACTGTAATGCTGCATACCATATGCAACAAACAACAACATAGTTTTCAAGTGTGACAAAGATTTTTTTAATGTTACAAAATTTCTTTCAAAATTCATTATTTATCCTAACTACACAAGAAAATGAGAGCTTATGATATTTAATAGCAGAATATTGGGATTTTTCATATTCTACAAGAAATCTAAGGGGCATGAGTTATTAAAAAGATTTCCAAATTTATTATTAAAATCAATTTTAAGCTGATTGCTTTTCTAACTCATAATTTTACATTAACAAGCATAATAAGCTAACTGTTAATTCAAGCTAGAATTTTACCAGAAGTTTTCAAGGGATTTGTTTTATATATAGTTAACATTTTAGGTTAATTGGACATCTGTAAGGTTTTGAAATAAGGTCTGGAAGCTACTATGCAAGATTTGTATTAAATTTCTAGTTGATTTAGGATTCTTTTTTCTATTATTTAGAATTTTATTATTATTTTCTAGAATTTTTTGGGATTTTTATTTTCTTACCTAGTATAAATCATGTACTTAGATT